TTATTTATTAATAAATAATTTATTCCAATTGCCCTAACCCCAGCAAAACATTTATGGGGGACTGTGTAGGCCAGATGGGCTGAATTTTAGCACCAGTCCAGCCCTGATGATTCTCCTCTTTTAGGGCCAGAAAGAAGACCTTCTAATAATAAAACTATTTAAACTAAACTCCTTAAGGGAGCTGTATATGCTCAAAAGTTGTTGCTGCTTCTGGAAACCTATTTGCCTTGACTTCATATATCTGGTGTTAATGTATTTATTCTTTTAATGTGTGGTAGCCTGGAATATTTAGTGTGCATACACACTGTATCTCTGTGTGTTGGAGATTTGATAAAAAAAATAAAAAAAACGAATTATTACTGTTGTAGAAAACGTTGTGGCACCAAGATACACTATGAAGGGGGCCCTTGGGTTTGCTATAGCCCCAGGGCCCTGTGTGTTCTTAATCCGGGCCTGCATACAGAGTGACAACTTTCTTATCTTATGGCCCAACCTATAACAGTGGAGGAGTTGAATATGTGTATTCAATATATATTTATTAGGGCTGGACCAGAATATTCGATTATTCGAATATTCGTTCGGTGGGTTGGCATTCGATTTTCAATTTTGAGGTTCGAATATTCTTCTTTTTTTTTCCGAACACCTGGCATCCCCCGCGAAACGGTTCTCATTCGCGCTTGAATATGAATCGCCCATGAGTGAACGTCGTGAACGTCATGATTCAGTTCATCTGGAAGAGATGAAAAAATGCCGAAGACCTCAGCTGTGTGGGAGCACTTTAAATTGAGTGAGGACAAGACAAAGGCAGTGTGCCAAATATGTGATTTGAAACTGGCCTACCACAACAGCATATCACGTTTGAAAAATCACCTATGACTAGTATATTGTTGGTGTAAAAAACGAGCTGCTTTTATCCACCAGGTTAATCAGTAATTTTACACATGATAAAAACGTGCACTTAATTTGCTTGGAAAATATTTGTGAATACGGCAATCATAAAAAAACGTACAGTAGCCCAGCCTAATAATAATTTGTCTATACTACCGTGTTCTTTATTTATTATAGTTCGTTGAACTTCGTTCATTTATTTTTCGTTCTTCTATTTAAATAGCCTACCCTTTACAGTGTCAGTAATTACTGTGCTGCTAATTTCTGATTTGGGAGTGATTCGTTTGTTAGAAAAATGTTAGGCTACCTTATTAAAAGTATTGCTCTTAACAGACCTGTGTGTTTTGTATCACTAGTGCAGTGTCTGTTCTCGGAGCATATAAGCCCTGCCAGCGTGAGGCGCGCTGTTTCCGGCTCGCGCTGTTCTGTAGTTTATTAAAAGTTTATTAATTCTGAACGTGTCGCATGTCCATATTGCACCAAAATGCGACACTGCACTACCTTGGGTCCGCAGCAGCACACCCGCCACGCTTGAAGTCGATTGGATGAACGGTTCTCGACATAAAAAAATGCAAACAGACAGACACACAGAGATTCCTGCCTTTATTAGAGAGAAGAATATGTTCAGCCCCCTCCCTCCGTAACTTCGAATATTCTGTGTTGATCACTACCGAAGCTTCGAAGCTCAAAAAATGGTATTCGGACCAGCTCTAATATTTATATATTATAATATATATTTCAATATGTATAGCAACTGAAATATACCACTTGTTTCCCAGAAAGGCCCGATGCAATTATGTGAAAGTTGCACATTGGGAGATACTTTATTGCAATGCTGGCCTTAAAGCTTGAACAATTTATTTTTAAAGTTGAAAAAATGCACAGTTGATGGAAACAGATAAAGGATGTATAGTGGATTATAATGGATGTATTAATAATAATCTACAGTATGTATAAAAAACATGTCAGCATGCATATAAACAATCAAACTAAATCACAAGAAAGAGAAAAACTTTATTTCCAAGATTGCACTTGTCTTTCTTTTCAAATTGCTCTGAATGAACCTGTAAGCAATAATTCTGCAATGTTAGGTTGCTCTCCGCTTGCCTGCGGTGCAATTAATATTGACATTTTGTACTATTAGTTAAATGCACACATTTTGAAAACCGAGCCACTCTTTATTTATCTCAAGCCATGGGTATATTTTCGATCAATTTAATTATGTTTTCTTTCAGTGGTTTATCTTCAACAGAAAATGAGAAAATGCGAGAAGGCACTTCCTTTACTGTGTGAATAGTATTGGCATGTCACATCTACCGGCACATTCTCACTGAACTCAAGACGCATCCGATGAGCTGCTAATGGAGCATTAAGTATAGAGAGAGAGAAACAGACACAGCAGTGCTGATTCTCATTTGTGGAATTACAGTATGATATAAATAGAAATATAATATTAGACTTGAGGGTGTAAGAAAACTATTTAAAGCATCAAGAAAACTCTTTTTCTTGCAGTTTATGAGAAGTACATCAGACACACGTTCAAATTTAGTCACTCACCTGAAGTATCCAATAATAAAGATAGCCACTAGAAGAGAGCTGAAGGAAACTGCATAGCCCACTGTGTACATGATGTGCAGCCTTTCGAAAAAGACCTGCTGTGGGGACAAAGACGTAGCGCGTCAAACCACGAGTGATCTCGGTCCATTAAAGAGAAATGACTGTAATGTAGCTTACTCTCTTTTTGTTGGGTTCTGGGGATTTGATGCATTCAGTGTAGTTGACCCAGGTCTTGTTTGAGCTTTCTGCAAGCACCCAAGAACCATTAGAGTCACACCTCCTGTAAGCGTGTCCTGAAAGATTGATAAAAACTTTGCTGAACATGAACTTTGCCGGTTTGGAATTCTAGCATACTGCACAGTATGCTGCCTATTAACTGTAAGAAATAGTATGTGAAACAGTACACATTATCCAACAATAAAAGTTTGAAACTGTAGTAAATGTTATTTAATTTTACATTTTTAATGTTTTTCCCCAAAAAGAAAAGAAAAGAAAAAAAGAAAAGAAAAGAAAAGAAAGGGGTAAAATTGAAGGTAAAACCAATAAAGTTCCATTGTGGGTATTCCATGCATTCAGAAAATGTGCATATGTACATACAGTAGTATACATACTACACACTATGAGTAGTATGGGTAGTATTGTAGTATGTGCTTTCAAACATAGGAGTCACTAATAATATGCACTAATAATGCATAATTTGTCAACCAGTAGAGATTTTGGACTATGTCTCTATCGCAGTTACACGATCATGTGACGTTGCAGTGCTACATGGTCACAAAAATGTATCATTTGCATGCATTTTTAAGCATTGCGGTTAAAAAGCAAGTGATTTTAAGCCATTGAAACACAATCAGCAGCGAATGAAAAATGCGCACATGAGGACGGTGCTCATAGAGTGCAGAGTATTGAAGTGAGTTATTTTTTTATTATTTTTTAACGATTAAATACACACTTGTATGTATCAAAATGCCTGTCTTTTCAAGTATCCTCGTAAACAATCATTTAGGTCCTAAATGAAAGCAAACAGCTGAGACAGAAAACGTGTAACAGTATATTGGATCAGTGCAGCTCTTAAGTCTGTCATTCATGTTAATCAAACAACAAAAGAGAGAAAATCTCTCACTGCTCTTGACTAAAATCACTTTTGTAACTTTAATAAGAAGAAATATATGTTTAATTTACACAGTGAGGAATATGCAGTGTTTTATACATTTGATTACTTTTATTGATTTATTTGTTCTACTGTATTTTTTGTCCTATTACTTGTAATTAGTTTCTTATTTAATCACTGACTTTTACTTGTCTTCAGTAAGCTTGAGTTTGTTTGTTTTTAGGCTATTTTTAGGCTTTTAGGCTAGTATTAGTTTTTTGTGATATTGACACTGGTGACAAGAATCATGAAATTTCGATGGTATCAAAAATGTTGATATCATAAAGCATTATTTAAAGCAAAAATAGCTACATCATGATATATTACTGTGAAAAAAAATTACTCATTTCGTGATATAAGATTTTGTTCATATCGCCTAATACAGAGTATTATTAGTGAATAAGACCCGATCTCATACTGGGTTAGACGTCATATTGATTGTAACACAGATGAAAATGAGGCTTTGAGGGATAGATTTACAGTCTTTACATTGTATAAAAGTCCTAGATCATGTAATTTTCACAACTTTCAAAACTGTTTTTGAGTTTTTGTCTACTGAGGTTTTCTTTTTTTGGAAAGACGTTTCATCAGCTAAACATTCGCTACGCTGTTAAAAAACTGTACAATCCATTATGTGCACTGTACTTTTATCCCTCACAGCCTTGTTTACTTTCCTGTCAAAAATTAAATATTGTGCTACCCTGACCAAGGTACGGAAGCCCTAAGAGGCCATAAACTATTGTTATGATTCTTTCTGGTTTTCTCTTGATGCACGACTTATTTTTCTCATTATCTCAAAATAACAAAAGTTGTTTTTCTCATGATGTCTGACCCATCTGACAGCAGCACTATAGACTAAGTTACTTCTGCTACTTCTGAATAAATAAAGCAGTAATTATGTCATCAAATCAAATCGAGTCTGTTTTGATCAGAAGCTGTCCTACATGTAATGGTCAGATGGCCTACTGAATATGACTAATAAAAATCACAAACAAATTATGTAATTTGTTTTGTTTTGTTTTGTAAATAAAGTGAAGGCATTCAGCCTCCACTTGCATTGTTGAATGCTCTGTTATTAGACTGTCTCTGAAAAAAATCAGTAATTGATTAGACTATGTGTATTTTTTTTAGACTTTGGGCCCTCTTTAAATAACAAAGAAAAAATATTGCGCCAGACTTTAGACCAGGTTTGAGTTGGTCTATGGCGCAGTCTATTTTCAGCTCCTCAAAATAGCAACGCGCCAGCAATGTGCCTGAACACACCTCGTTTTCAGACCAGCATGCCCACAGGCGCACAAATGGGCACAAATGCATTTGCTATTTAAAAAACGTGGCGCAGGACGGGAAAATGAGAAGAACTGCGTCGGGCTAAAACTAGCAAAAACACTTGCGCCGCGCCTTGCGCCTCATTGCGCCGGGTGTATGATAGGGCCCTTTATTATTAAGTGAAGCAACCTTTTTGCTGAAATATCCACAACATTAACAACAAATAAGAGCACACATTTTATCTATCGATCAGATGTGTGGGAACATTGTGTTCGTCACTGTAGCAACAGCAGACTCTTGTGCATTTTGTTTCAGAATTAAACAATAATTATAAAATAAAAGCAACTTTTGATATGTTGAAATAACAAGAAAATTACTTTGTGATAACGAGAAAGAAAAATATCTATAACAATCCACAGTCTCTTAGGGAGTAAGTAAAAAGGTCTATTGAATTGATTATTTTTTATTTGTATTATCTACAACCTCAAAACCAGTTCAAATACCTTTTATATCAACCCATATTATAGACTTCTTATTTGCGTATGAGTGTTGTCAGTTGTTCCTACATTTAAAGCTCAAATTAAGAAATATTACAGCTAACAATCATGCATGTTAACAACTGGCAGAAAAAAATAAGGATGATGAGAAATCTTTCAAACCTGCATGGTTGAAATCATAGATGTATCTGGGGCAGGGGGTCTTGGTCAGAGTTCCAGGGAAGCCTTGTGGCCAACATATCAGACCATCCCACTCTGGGACGCACACACCAACTGAGAGCAGAACAGTTTCAGAGCAGAGATGTCAATTCACCAAAGGGCAAGATATGACACGTAAAATCATAGAATCTTGCAGCATAATGTGACACCTAGCTAATTTTCTTTCCTTCCTGATCTTTAGAGTAGATTCTATAGCAAGATAAACATGAAATGAGCTATAGTAAAAGCCCAGTATGAAACTGTCATACATCCTTCCCATCTCCAAATGAATCATGCTTTCCTTTGGATAAATATCTGCAAAATTAAAAAATATCACTTGTAGTATCATCTGAACACCTACGGGGGATGTCGGGCATGGATATTGGATTATATCCAACTGGCATGGCCAAACATGAGCACCCACAAGGTGGCCCACACTGCCACATAATGCAGAGGCAACAAGTGTGCTTGTGTAATAAATTAATTGTTTAATTACATTATGAATACTGAACTTGATCAATGTACTTATCATTTTGTGCTAAAACAATCGAACAATTTATAACTATCACAATGACTGTAATGATTTCTGTTGAAATAAAAAGATGCTGAATTGATGCAATTAATGTCATATAGTTGAAGACATTGAATAAATCAGCAGAGGTTTCAACAGAGTCAGTCCAGCAGCTGCAGATTTCTGCCAGCATCAGACCACATAAGCAATGAAGCGTTAAGTTTGAAAACATTAGACAATGAAGTGCTTTCAAACTGTTCATTCGGAATGATTTAAAAAAAATTATTGTGCAGTTCTGATACTATTTAAAGTCAAAATGAATCAGTAATTTGTTATCCATTAACGTGACATTTCTAAGTGAAACATTAAACAAGAAGACAATGTAAGATGGGACTTGAGTTCATCCATCAGGAAAAATGATGCAAAATCATGAAAACTCCTGAAACGCAGCTTGAACATCTTGACATGTCAGCATGCCAGGTTCAATTATTACACAACCTCCTGGTCGCAGGAACATGCAATGTAACTACAACCTTCTGTTATTTCAAATTTGTGCATTTACAAATTTTTGGGGTCATAACAGTTTAAAAGTGTGATCACATTAGTGAGATTTCAGATAAATTTTATGGGCAAAAAAGTCCATTGTCTTTTGTCAATAGTGTAGCAATATATGAAACACAGCTCACAGAAAAGTCACTTTCAAACCAAGTAGAGGTCTGCACGGGACTATTTTTTTAGTCCCGCTCCCGCAAGGTTATATTCCACACCCACCCGCTGCCGCTATATATTCACTCTTTGTTCACCCGCTGTCCGCTTGGAATAATTTTCTTGCCGACCCGACCGTTCCCGCTAAATTTAGATCTCGTTTTCATTTAAAATTATAGGCTAAGCAAAATATAAACAAAACCGAGTTGACCGTCCTTCAAGGACAGAGCATCCACAATTTGCTCCTTGCTTGTTCTGTCTGAGGGCCGTATATTTACCACAGGTACAGCCTGCACTGAGCATCGTTATGCACATGTTGCGCACAGACCCCGCAAATAAAACGCGTGACGCAGAAAGCATGCGTGCAGCACGTGTATAACAGTCCGAGTGCAGGCTGTACCGGTGGTCAATAAGAATAAAGTGCAGAAATGCAGTTCTGAATGAACGTCGGGAACGGGATATTGTTAGACCGCCAACTCCCGTTCAAATTACACCAGAGTTACCGACCGCTACCGCGTTTTATTCGGGAATTTAATCCCGCAGCGCAAAAAATCTGGTCGGGTCGCGGGAATGCAGACCTCTAAAACCAAGCAGGTTTCTGTTGGCCAATGAGTTAAATTCACATGACCAACCTGTTGCTAAATCTGAAATCTTTTGCCCTCACACAAGATTGCATGGATTCCTATAGAAATGACAATGGTAAATGTGACAGCACATTAAGCTAATATAATTACATTTTAGGAACATGTTAAAACATTATTATAAACTACACAAAGGATCTTAAAGGTCTTCATTCACGCCAAATTAATTAAAAAAAATCCTAGTTTAATGTTTAATTGTAAAAGGATGTTTAGCACATCCACTAAAACAGGCAAAAATTAAAAATTGATTTTGATATTTTAAGCATAAAAACATCAGATTGTTCTTTTGTTATCTCGTACCCTAGGTGATGTCACCTGCTGACCTCTCTTTAGAAAATATGTATTACATATGTATTAATAAAGTAAGGTAAATTTGAATTTACGTTAACTTATGTTGGCAGACGTAAGCTCAGAAACCAAAAGAACACATGCACATTATAAAATTAGTCATAATTACACTAAACATTTCTCCTAGTGCAAATTAGCTCTAATCAATCCAGACGTGTTGTCATGCACCAGTATGAAAACTAAACATGCTTTGTACTGTAGATAGCAGTCATTGCACCCACGTCCTCTGCACATAATTTCCTTGAATTACACATAACCCAATAACCTATGACGTTAAGATTAAAGGGAGATGGGAGTAAGCCAAATCAATATTTTTTAGTTGCCAGGTCACTACTGATAAAACAGCCAGGAAGCCCATTATAATGAGTCATCTCCAACAGCTTTTTTCCCTGTTCTGCCTTATCACTTGTGACAAGTTTATAATGAAGCTAAATTAATTAACAAACTGTGCAGTGCCTAACCAAGAGTTGCCCCTAAGAAAGGTCTTGAAGGAGTCTCATTAGCTGTACGCCTTCATTTACATCAACAAACCTCATGTGACTGAGCTGACTCATTCAAGCTTTATGCAAAACATGTTTTGGCAGAGATGCTGATGGTCATACTTCTGGTGAATATGTTACTATTTCTAGATGAACTGTGGTGCACAACAACAGTAGTTGAAGCGGAGAATTGAAAAGGACACTTAATTAAAAGCTGTGTGAAAGAAACGTAGAGTGGAAACTAGGGATGTAACGATTAACCGCGAGCCGGTTGAAAATCGATTCAAATATGTGACGATTCAAATCAGTTGAGATGCTAAACAAATCGCGATTCAATTAGGGGTAGGGGTTTATATGAATGTATGTCTGAGGGGAACTTAAAGTCAAATCATTCTGTTTTTGCTTCAAATTTCAAAATTATACAACCAAATTTTAAATGGAAAAAGCACAGACAAAGCCTTATTTTGTTTATATGAAGAGATTTTTTTATTTGTGTTACTTATTTGATTTGGGGCTTGTTTTAAAATTTCAATTTAGTTTTGTTATTTACATTTACATTAGCCTATATTTAAATTTTGTTATTTAGCAGACGCTTTTATCCAAAGCGACTTTCAAATGAGGACAATAAAAGCAATCAAAACCAACAAAAGAGCAATAATATGCAAGTGCTATATTAGTATATTATTATAGTGTTATATTTCAATTTCACAAAGAAACGTGCAGCATTTTGTCCAAGCAATAATAAAAGAACACATTTAATTTATAATTTGTCTTAAATCTCATTTTGTAAAAAAAAAAATCGTGAATCAAATCGAATCGTGAAATCAAAATCGTGAATCGAATCGTGAGTTGAGTGAATCGTTACATCCCTAGTGGAAACGGTATCTACCTGTAGGGTCGTCTGTGGAGATCTTCTGTAGACACTGCAGCTTCGCATCCAGCAGCATCTGCACCTGTTCTTCAGCTGTAATCTCATCTTCACCTGCCTGTCCAAAACAAAATGCTCGTTTTTATTTCTTCATTGTGTACTGAATCTTCTAAAGCCATCAGATAGCTTTATCTGAGGATGTTATTTGCAAATGTCATTTTATTTTCCAATCTCGGGATCAAGGCATATTTGAGATCAATTAGGAAACTCCATTGATTCACAAATCAGATTTAAAGTCTCTTTCTCACTCAAAATGATCATATTGTGCTTTTTGTCATTTCCTTTTACTTTCATTGTATGGAAAACAACAGATCTGAAATTCGCTGCTAAAAAATGTTTCTTGGAAAAAAAGAATTTCAAACACTTTTGAGTGGATGAGAAAATAATGACAGATTTTTTAAAAAAGGTCCATAAAAATAGTCTTCAGTTATCAAAAGAAGAGTGCATTATGTAAAACTGAGTGTGTGTTGGTGTGGTTAATAAAGGGTTAGTGGTGACTTTCTCTCTCCGTCTCATTTCGGGTTGCTTAAATGAGTCTGCAAGGGAGTGAGAAGAGCTGAACTTCTAAATACCCTGAGGAGATAAAAGAAATTAAAAGATTCACTCTCTGTAATGATGAAAGAAAGGTTTTCAATTAATGTAAAAGTGTATTAGAAGGGTATTGGAGCCATAATTTCTACCTCAATTAAAGTCATTTTCTCAGTCATGCAAAGCAAAGATACAGTTGCGAGCATTGTAAATTTAGCATTGTGCAGGAGGATACTGCTGGAACAAAAAATTTAATTTGTTATGAAATATAACATGAATTAAAGCTTAATGGAAATGCATCCATTAATCTCTTACCTTTGTATTTTTTACATTTAATAAAAGTGGAATGGACCTTGCCATATTTAAGATGCCATATTTAATTTGACATGCATGAAAGCCTGGCTGTGAGAGATGGAAGTGCAGCCTGATCACTTGGGTTTAAAGTCCTAAGCCCTTAGTAGGTCACATCAAATCTCGCAATCCAATTTTTTGTCTTTTCTGTGATTAATCGCATTGTTATGCACAAAATTCAATAATAAATTCAAAAGTAGTGTATTGCACACTTTTTTTCATTTAAAAGTACTGCTATATGAACAAAAGTGCAATAACATTTGGTTTGCAAACACTTTAAACAAATAAGGTGCTTTTTTTTTACAGCTGTAGGCTATTCCTTTTACATAGTAGCAGTTAAAATATTTCTTGTAAACCTCAACTTAAACATTAATGTAATCAAGTTAAATATAAAACCAAAGCTATTTGTCACTGCCAGGGCATTAACGTTTTTATAGAAAATATTTTATAGTTTGTTATAGAAAAACAAGTTATGCTCAGAGTAGAGGTGCACCGATTGACTGGCCAGTGATCGGAATCGGCCGATTTTTAGCATGACCAGCCCGGATCGGTGTCAGTCTCACGTCTTGCCGATTCCGAGTCAATCCTTTTATTGCCAGCGGCGCCGGCAATGACGTCACAGCCACGCGCACACTCACAGTCGCGTGTAAACATGTCGTTTCGCTTGAGAATGATTCTAATTGTAATTGCATTTAGTGTAAACGGCGACTGATAATGTATTTATGTCGTTCCAGATGAGGCTTGCACAGCCTGAGTGAGTGTGTGAGAATTTGAGAAAGACAGCACACGCAAAGTAACTCACAGAAATGTATAGATGCATTCTGCAGTAGAAAAAAAAAAGATATTTACAAAATATAATTTAGGAAAGCAACATTATACGGCCATGATGTTTCCACGAATATCATTATCAACACGATTGCATAGTGTTATACAATAGTATTTCAATAAACAAGAAGTTAAAATTAAGTGACTTCGATTTTAGACAAAATATTGACTGTTTTTGCTCAATTTCGCTGACGAAAATAGTTCTGATCAAAGCCACAGCAGGACTGTTGTCACTTGCCCCGTTTCTGAATGAATCAACCGTTTGAATGAATCGGTTAAATGAATGAATAAATGACTCACTTATTAAAACAGACATTTGCCGCCACCTACTGGTGGTTTAGTCATATTTAAAAGTATCATTGCATTTTTTCAACATTTATTTGTATGCTTAAAAAATATGTAAAACATTAATCTTATAAAATTATTTATGCATTTGAAATTTTGCAGTGTAAATGCATTTATGGCACCTCAGCTTCATCAAACTGTCTGTGTAAATGCATCTAATGCCACTTCAGATGCAGCTTCTGTTTCCTCAGCAGTGAAAGGATAGAGTTTGTTAATACTAATTTGAAATTTCATTTGAATGGTAACAACTCTACAGTTTCTTATTATTCTAACTGAATTACTTTAAACAAAGTAAGAATTTGATGTGAAAGATGGCATTTAATAAGGTTAGAGTAAAAAATGACCATTTATAAACATATCTTAGAAAGAAAATCAGAATCGGCAAAAATCAGTATCGGCAGGTCACACTTCCAATAAATCGGAAATCGGAATTGGTCAAGAAAATTGCAATCGGTGCATCTCTAGCTCAGAGTCCAGAGCCTCGATCATAACATTATAACAGGCACCTTCTGAGTAGAGACCTGCACTATCATGGGACCCGTGGGACCCAACGCAACAGAGTGCAGCGCGGGACAACACTTGATGGGCGAGTGCAGGTGCGGGCAGTTAGAGACTTGTGTGTGCGGGATGCGGGAGAATAAGGGTGTACTCACACTAGGCAATCTTAACCGTGTCCGAGTGCGTTTGACCCCCAAAGCCCGGTTCGGTTGATTAGTGTGATCGCTCCGTGCCGCACCCGGGCAGTAGCCCCTCACTGCAGAACACAAGATCCAGGGGGTCCACATCTAGGGGGTGGAGATGGGTGGGTTTAGGGAGGGGGGGGTGGAGAAGGGTAGGTTTAGGTATATGTAAGGTGGGAGGAGTTGGATCTGGATCCAACCTCGCCCCCTGGATCTTGTGTACTGCAGTGAGGACCAACTCCACTCGGGCGCGGTTCCTTTAGCTGTCCCTGGCTTGGTTGGAAGAGGTGGGCCAGAGCGCGGTTCAGTTGGCTTGGGCGCGGTACGCATGTAGTGTGAGTGCTAACCGCGGCGGAGCACGGAACTTCTGATACCTGCAGCATGATTGCGTAAACATTTCTGAGCGGCAAAAGTGACAGATCTGTAAAGCAATATATTGTGAGAGGGCCGTGTGTTACCGGGTCCCAAACGACTCAAAATAATAAACCACAAAGTTAACAAAACGGCACTCCACTTCTATAGTCTTAGGCCCATCCCAAATGCTCTCATTGGTTGAGATGCGTGATGACACCCATCCCAAGCCAGTACTGATCAACATCCCACCCCTCCTGTGACCCATGGTTTGTCTGTATGTGAATTCAGAGCCAGTGAGCAACGGACTTTCAAAATAACAATAATAATAATAATAATAAAACTGCGTTAATACGCAATAAAATAATTGTCGGCATTAATTAATTAATGCATTAACGTCCTAAATAACGCGTTAACTTGCCCAGCCCTAATATATATATATATATTGTGAAAATGTGTGTGAAATGTTTTGAATTGAACTATTCACAGCTTAAATATACAACTGTGTTGGATTTCAGCCACTAAAAATGCATGCCCTGAAAATACAATGCATTAAAATGCAAGCACTGTTAATGCAATACATTATTTTTTTCAGTTAGTGCAATTCAACAAGCTTTTTTGATTCAAAGACATTTGTCATTATTTTTCTTACATACAGGTGGACTGTCTGGTGGTTTTCCAGCAGTATACAATTTAATAATAGCCATGCAGCTTTCTTGACGTTCATCAAGCAACACTGTGAGACTGCTGACAGTGTTCTAGTCAGATGGGCAAACCTGCTTGTGCATTTCAAATACCTAAAGTGAGTCAAAAAAACATATCTAAACAATCAATAAGTGATTAAAGCTTAGAATGGAAACTATTTTGAGATTGATCGGTTACAATATATGTCCTCCAATTTGGCACATGAAGATAATATGTCTGGAAGCGATTACATTACCGAAAACTGGGTAGGAGTTTACAATTGTATTACTTCATTATAAAACCCTGTCTGTATTGCACATACATATGGCAAAAATACACCATACAGCTATCATTCAAATGAAAATCTGAGAAATAAGCTTCCTACATCTTTTTGCTAGGACATCACGTTTATTTTTGAATCTTAGTGCCATTTAAACTGAATTTTGCATGATTAGTGCTGTTCATCTCAAAAGCGATACATCATACATTTTCACTACAGCTGATTTTTATGTCAAAGCAGGAACTGAGAGAAAAGCATGTTCACTGTAAAAAGTGTAAATGTGCACTTTGGCACCACTTCTACCGGATTGACCCTTAAGATGGCTTTGGTGAAACCTGTTGAACTCAGGATGATTCAGTCAGTGATTTATGAGGCATTTCTATGATAAATAAATAGTAAATAAAAAATGGCTTGAATACACCCACTTACAGTAGATCAGTGGTTCTCAACCAGGGAGTCAAACTTGCAGGAAGGCCACAGGATAACTTATTTAAATTATTATTTTAATGTATTAAAAATCAACTCTAATCAAAGTTGAAATGCAAAAAAAAAACAAAAAAAATGCAATCAATCAATGTAAACAAGCAGATTCACAATGTAAACATCAGAATTACCTGAAATATTGTCATCTTTGCTGAGAATATAAAATTAGGGAATATCTTGTATATCGCAATACTGTTAAAAGTTTAACTTTATAAAGACAGTAAGCCAATTTCACTCATATCTCATGGCTATGACAGCTGATTTCAAATCCCAATTTCATATGCGTGACTGCTCTGTGAAGAGCGTCAAAGGTTTCTTTTCGATGAGATGAGCACTGTAGCCAATCAGCACCGAACACAATGAACACAGTCAGAGTTGTTTCACATTAAACTCAAAACACTGGGGTATTCGTTCACACTTGTGAATCTTAAGTCTGTGCATTAAGTCTTGGAGTTTAAATGCAAACTAAAAGAACTGCCACTTAATGTAATGTGCAATAGGTTTCTTTGTTCATCATGTGTTTCTTTGTTCTTCAAAGAATTCACTTTGTTATTGCAATAATACTACTTGTAGGAACTTTGCACTTTCTTTTTTATATACCATTGATGTTACTTTTGTGTTAATTTAGTAAAAAGCTGCAAGTGGCCACTATATCTACATTTTCTTTTAACTAGTGTTGATTTTAAATAGCTTGTATATATTTTGTAACAATATAGCTATCCTGATCATACTGTATTTTCTTCACGGGGGCAAATAGGGCTGGGCGATTTTCCAAATTTTGACGATAATTAACCCCATGAAAAGACATGATCTGGATAGAACAGATATAATTACAAAGCACATACCAGCTGTTTACTGCAAAATCAACACTGGGGGTGGATGGATGGTGGGCCTTCGAGTCAAAAGATTGTGAACCACTAATCTATAACACATTCAGATGTAACTTTTTAATTTACTGTAGATGTGCAACATGTAGCACATTTTTTAGATGATTCTCACAGGCCGAGCACATTTATGCATGCATTAATGACTTGCTAATTTATAACTGTAACTTGCTGGCAATGTAGTGGGAATAAGTTTCAGTTGTTTAAAGGTAATAATTAACATGCACAAGACATGCAATATGACAAAGCTGAACCTCATGAAAAATTAATCTTACAAAGCATTCCTAGTTTAACTGTGTTGTGCTGATAACTGCACAATTGTGATGGTGTTGCAAATAACATACAGTAGCATATATTCAGGATGATTAAAAAGGGTGCATTAAACAGAAATCATTCTGCAAAACAAAACACAATTAATTTAGTTAATTAATGCATGAACAAATGCACATGCCACTGAAGTGTGTTTTTGTGTCATTTCACCCACTGCACAGGTCTATATGTGCTCACTTGAGTGACTGCATTTACTGGTCTGGAATGACAGAACAAGAGTGAACAATGCTTCAACAACATATAATGGCAAGCTAAAAAAAATGCATATTGCATAGATTCCATACCCACTGTAAAAAAAAAAATGGAAATGTGCAGTTGTTACCTTATTTCCACTCAATATGGTCAGGTTGATTCAGTTATATTAAATAATAAAATGCACATGCCACTGAAGTGTGTTTTTGTGTCATTTCACCCACTGCACAGGTCTATATGTGCTCACTTGAGTGACTGCATTTACTGGTCTGGAATGACAGAACCAGAGTGAACAATGCTTCAACAACATATAATGGCAAGCTAAAAAAAAATGCATATTGCATAGATTCCATACCCACTGTAAAAAAAAAAATGGAAATGTGCAGTTGTTATCTTATTTCCACTCAATATGGTCAGGTTGATTCAGTTATATTAAATAATGTTATTGAATTAAATTCACATGAGGCACATTGTAGGTCACCTGACAACACATTTTTATAGTGCAGGCAGTAGCAACTCTTTATAAAGTATTATCAGGATTATTAGTTTAGGAGAGACTATAAGGGCTGTGAAACACACCAAGCATTTATCAAAACATCCACTGTTCCATTCCATTTCTCAGAGGCAGATATTAGGGATGAGGATTGCAGCTTTCATGCAAAAAAACAAAAAAACAAACAAAAAAAAACATGGCGTTGGCTGTGCACTTACATCTGAATCATAGTTCAGTCAATATCTGACTGCATTTTAAAAATGTTTTGTCTGCATGAAAAACATGCTTCATGTGGATACATCTACACTGAATCAGCTGGCTTTATTCAGCAAAAGAGAGTTTAAGGATCAGATTAAGAAGAAAGCCTCATTTGCACCTTATTGAGTTGTACCATGTAGTTTTAACAAAATATAGCAGAAGGGCCATTCCCATTTAAACTTTGATTTTGAATGAAATGTAAAAAACATATACAAGTTTAAAAATATATATAATAATAAAAAAGGGCAGATCGACAATCAAAATAAATAGACTGATACCCATACATATATGAATACATACATATACATAATGTGTTTAAAGTGTTTAGATAAAGTGTATGGTAAAATGCTGAAGTTGAAATCAAACACTGACAGGTCTGCAATTGTTCAGTCAAATCGAGTCCCAACTTTTGCAGATAGTTTGCTTTAATGAACTTTCTTTCATTATCGTGTAGCCTACCATAAAAACGCAAAAAGGAATTCGCATAAAACATCACAAAACACGTCTTAAACATGTATATGCAGTATGCACTATTGAGTTGTTTCAGTGTTTAACATTTTTAACGGTTAAAGAAAAAAACTGTCATGACACACCTGTATCGACCCAGTGTCTTACCTGAGCATCAGCTAATGTCCAGAACAGAATCACTTTGGCGAAGTTCCACAGGAGACAATCCCTCATGTTTCTGAGGTGAAGCTTTTGTCGAGATAACAAGCAGTCTTCTTCCCTTAAGACTTTGTGTATCTCCTCACACCCCCCAGCGACCATGATCTGCTCATGTCATCAGTGAAAAACATCGTTAATTCTCCCCGAAATCTTTTCTTCAGTTTCGAATAAAAAGCACTGAATCACAAGACGTCGTTGTTCTTTGAAGTTCAAATACGTTCACATCTCCTTCACAGAAAAAAAGCGTAACTTAAAAGCAAAGCGGCTGAAAGTTTGCAAGTGTACTCCGCGAAGAAATCCCCTCGGTCAGTTCTGCTGACGGACTCACAGTGAGTGAGATGAGGCGCTTGAATGAGAGACGCTCCTCCCGTCACAAAAAGCGAGCGTCTCACTCTCACTAACGATGGGCGGATCGATCTCAAAACATCTATAGTAGGCTAGCCTATTGAGTTTATCGCGATGATTGGTCCTTCTCACATCAATAATATCGACACTAAGTGTTTTAACTAGTGCGTTCTTCCTTTATTTATAAATTTTTTTCTCGAAAATGAATGTGTATCAAGAGCGCGAAAGTGAAAACATGAATCATATGAACAAACAGTTGTATAGGTTAGGAACTATTTGTCCTTCCGCTCATCTCTCAACACAGAAATACGGACGCAGTAATAAGCAGCGCTTACTCGTCATGTCTTCAAAGTTGAGACAGAAATAACGTCTTTAACTTTCTGTAAGTTGTTAAATGATTCTTCGTGTTCTGTAATTGATGTTAATAAATTAAATACTAATGATGGCTTCCAAATCATATTGTTAATTACCCAGTTTATCCTCCAACAGGTCATTTCAGTGGAAATCTGCCAAACCTATGATTTTCTTTCCTCTGTCTGTGGAACAAAAGCTGAAAAAATGTTAGGCAGAATGTTCGACATTCACTTTTGCATCACTTTTCCACACAATGAAAGTGAACGAGGCTCTTCTTTTCTAGGGAGCACAAAAGGTCAGCATGGTGATCAACAAGCTTGTGTTATGTAGGGTGACCATAAATTCTCTTTTTCCCGGACATGTCCTCTTTTTGTACCTTAAAAAATGCATCCGGCCGGGATTTCTAAATCGCCCAAAATGTCCCGGATTCGGCTTTTGCTTTCTACAGTTGCCATTCATTGTGTGCGGTTTTGTATAAGAGCCCTGCGAGGGACTGTTTTTTGCATTCTATGATAAGACTGGATGTTAAGTTTTGTGAAGGAGGGCCACTGAAGCTTTTTAGCTGCATTTTTTATAAATATGCATAACAGTGACTGTAAAATATGTATTTTAGGTATGGAAATGACATATTTTGAGGGATATGGTCATTGCGCTACTTTGGGCGCTACTTTAACCACCAACAAACCACACCCCAATCCCCCCGCCCCGTCCGCACCCACTGTCCTCTTTTTGGAAAAATAAAATATGGTCACCCTAGTGTTATGATTTACATTAAGTGAACATACTTCAGGCATTCAAGTATATTTTACTGTTAATAAACTAAATTACTAGTAACCCTATCCATACTCAACTAATTTATGCATATGTTATGAGGAAAACCGCTCATGAGGAAAAAGTACTGCCTGCAGGCAGGATGTCAATATAATGTCAGGTTGACGTTGGACATGATGTCAGACATACATTGCATTTTAGTTGAGAATGAAAATCGGGTTGATGTCAGTATTTGACACCAATTTGACATTGACTTAGCATTGGATTTTGATTACACAACCTAAAAACAACAAATATCAACGTCAGCTGATGTCAGTATTTGACATCAAATTAACATTGACATGAGACGTTGAATTGACATAGAATTTTGGTCACCCGACATCGCAACCAAAATTTAACCAAATATCATTGTCTTATGACATTGTGTGCCTGCTGGGCTGTGACTCAGTAATAGTACCAGATGGTAATGTGAAAAAGGTACTGTCCTGTAACCTAAGGTTCTTTCAAAATAAGCAGGGTCCATCTCTGCATCCACCTTAAGGCTCTTACTAAACTTCTTTGGAACTGCTGGCTTTATACATGAGATGTGTGGTATATTCTGCTTTGTTATCCGATTGTTCAAACCACAGGGAGGTTCAGCGAAATGAGTAACTCATAAGTAAAATCACCAAATTAGTGTTCAGGAAGCTGCAAATAAGATTAAGTTGTGGACCTGTCCATGGTGCTGAAACACCAACTAGCAAATCCAATTCCCATTTGACTGCTTATTTAGCAGCATCTTTTATTCATTTCACTACAACAATTCTACATTTCAATAAAATATAGGTGAAATAGCCTATTATAAGAGGAATTTAATAATGCAGTCTAGAAATGAAACCCTGTGTAGTAAAACGTGTGGTTAACCATTATAAAAAGGAATCCTGTGGAGCAAAACGCCAACACATTTTCTCACACAGCACACTAGATATTCAGAGCAGCCTTGAGGATTCAGCATAACTCTTATCGTTTGGATTCAATCTCTTTGAAGAGGAAGCAACAGGCCACCGCTTAACCATTTCAGAAACTGAGCTCACATTCGGTTTTCTCTTTTTGACTTCATCCAAAAGCTAAAAATATTTAATGAAAGACAGCTTATCTACATTTGTGAGATGTTATGTGAATAAAAGCCACATTATGGATGATGACAGGGAATAAATCAGCTTCATTTCTCTGTCAGGTTTGAGAGGAAGTTTAATATAACAATCTCAGTCCAATTACTCAGGGTCTCAGGTGGAGATTGTAACTTTTATATCAGTCACAAAAGACACATTTGATACAGCTGGTATTTATTCATATGTCCATATTCATATTAATCACATCACTAATCATCACCACTGATATGTAAGCAAGAAATGCACAGAGTAGTCCACTACTATGAAGCATCTTTCTGACCATGCTCTGTCCATTTTTTGTGTGTGTAAATAAAAGCTGCTCAAAGAACAATATTTACATATGTATTGCTCTTTTGTTTACATGATATACAGTATTTGCTTTTGCTGAATATATTATTATTATTTTTATTTATTTTTTGCATTTACGTATATACAAGTAATCTAAGAAGAATCTATCAAGGCCTGAATTTTCTACTTTGAAAAATTCACACTCTGCTTTTCATTTTCTTTGTGCCACTGTTGCAATTTCATCTTTATTAATTTTGCCTAAACCTAAAGGATTTACATGCAAATTAGCACAGAGAAATATATTCAATTCAAATTCCACAACAATCTCATAACCATCTTCTGTTTCTAATTGAGTGAACAATCATTTCCTTTCCGTGCAAGTGGAGTAATGAGCTTCAAAGCATGCACCACCTAAAAAGGAGTTGTTAGAGTGCAGTGTAGCATTGTTTAAAATTCATAAAAGGCAGCTCATCTGATGCAATTACTACAAGAGACTGAGCATCTTATCAAAGCCTTTCTTCTGAAGACAGTGACTTTCAGATGGCTCATATATTTGTCTTTTTCTATTGGTAACACTTGTACAAACATTTGAAAACAGTGGGCTAAAAGTCCAAGTCATTGCTGAAACTCTGGGATTTAAAATCTATAATAACGTTTTAAGATTTAAACTGAAGAAACCTTTTGATAAACTAGGAACGTTTAAAGATTCTAAACAAGTTTTAATCATTTTGAACAAAAGGTCAGAGTTTATGCCTCCCAGTGCATGCTAAAGTAAAATATTTAAATTGTTAAATCATGCCAATTAAACTTTTACTCAAATTGTTTTGCTAAAAGATCATTTGTAAAGAAAAAAAAAACTGATTAAATAGGAAAAATGCAAACTGGAAACATTTTCACTAGTGGACTCAGACTTTGGGCTCCTACTGTTTGAGGTGCAAATAATTCCAGTACAAGCCTGTACTGGCAGCATTGCAACATTTAACTGGCACATTGCTACTTCTTATTCAAGAGTCTTAGAAGTTGAAGATTGTGTGTTTGGCTGGTAAAGGCAGCAGCGTTGAGAGAGATTTGTGTCTAAAAAAATCTCAAGTAGGGGAAATGTCATGTCTGTCTCTATCCAACCAAATCAGCTTTTACCAAAATACCCTAGGTGGTCCACATAGGACAGATTCAAAATGGCTCAGAGTTATCCGAACTGCTTGAAAATGTCACATATTGTGAAATGAGTTCAACATTAAGAGGATTTCCTTGAATTGTTTTCTCTAATGCTGCAGTTTTTTCCTATCACTTCCTAGCTGAAGCACACATGCACTGCACCAGACTAGACCTCATTAGTGCATGTCTTCACAGCAACCTTGCAACTTCTTTTCACAAACTTTTGACACTGTCTTTTTTATTGTAAATGTTCATATCCATATTTTCACAGGGTAATTTTTATTAAACCGTTAAGAAGAGGACAATAAGAAACACACGCTTACAGTATGTCGAAAGACCAGGCAGTCATTTTAGAAATGTTTAACATTTTTCAAAAGGAGAAATCTCCATATTTTAATCTGCATACACACACACACACTGGAAACAAGCAGGCCACCGTTAAGTCAACAACTGAGATGTCTACTGGTATTATGTTAAAAAATGTTAAAAAAAATTATAAAATAAAATAATAAAACTTTCATGTAGCAAGGACAATCTGCCAATTTATGGTTTAAAAAGCCAAATGAAATATCGTAATTATTAATTAACACGTGACATATATTAAGAACCATAATTATTCAAATACAAGCAATTATCATTCAGAATTATTATAACAAGTTTGACTGTTTAGAGGCACAGACAGATTGACATTTTAAACATTGATTAGATGTTATATTCACATATACACACACATACATTCATACATGACTGATGCTTTTACTTATCTTATTATGGGATGTTGATATAATACATTTTACCTGTTTTATTAAAAATGTCAGTGTATTTACTCTGACTATAGTCAGATATTTTTGAAGGCCTTCTGATTTATTTATTACTATTTGTTTAGGAATACTGCAACCCATCAAATGCCCAGCTGATGTAGTCTCATTTTATTGGCATCAATACACTGTAAAAAAAAAA